TATAATATAACAGTAGTCTACTACATCATAAAGTGCGTGTTCATGGCTTGCAAGATTCCAAACACACCTGGAAAGGTGAGAAAAGGGTGTCTGCACGAGGAATACCATTCCCTAAAGACCACTCCCTGGCTCTCCCCTGACCCTACTCCCCACTGCAACCCACAGAAAGAGTCTGGGTATTTATGGGCCACCCACAGCCTTGCAGTCAAAGGGGAGCGCGGACTCCATCGGGCCCACGACAGCCTCTTTTGAAAAAGAAAAGATGCGTTGAAGGAGGACCAGGTAGGTACCAGTCACCGTCCCATTTTCCCCTTGGGTTTGTCTCATTAAAAAAAAAAGATCTCTTCTTTTTTGCTGTTGTTGTTGATGGCAAGCTTGTTCTACAGGTCATCTGCTACGGGTGGGTGAGTAGAACGGAGGCCAGCAGGCAATTTGGAACTCCGGCTGCAAATAAGAAAGAGGAAAAAAAATAAATTCCAGTGTATAAGAGCAATTTGTCTCACGCTTCCTGCTTCCGACCCTTTGAAACAAGAGGAAGGGAAAACAGAGCAAGCACGGGAGGCTTGATTAACACAAAGCTCCATGTTACAATGATAAATCAAAAGTCATTTACGGGCTCCCAAATTCAAAAGGAATTCACTAACCCTGTATGGCATGATAGGAATTGCACATTATAGTTTAGGAACTCAGTTTATCAGCCTTCCCCAACTGGTGCCCTCCAGCTGTGCCGGTCAATTCAGGAACTGATGTTCACCCTCTGGAAAGCACCATTGTCAGGAAAAGTAGGGCTAGATCAGCTAAGAAATCAATTTAATCCATTTTTTTTAAAAAAGGGTGTCCTGATTCCTCCAACGTACCTCAGCCTGTCCCCGCCTGGCATTTCCCAGACGGTCGGTGGGGAGGATGGGAGTTGAAGTCAAAACGATGGGAGAAAACAAGGCCAGAAAAGGCTATGGGAGGTCAATGCACATAAACGTTCTTGCATTCAGCAAATCTGGAAGACAGCAGGTTGGGGGACTCTAACTCCCCTAATTCCAAGACTACATGGATGTTGGCCACGCAGCTTGGAAAATTATGGAAGATGGAGCCCAACACAGCTTAGGGGGCATCAGAGGGGGAAGGCGACCTACATGGACTGCAGGGAACACAATCTCTCTAGCCCACCCACACCGCCTTTCTTCAGAAATACCTTCCTAATTTAAGACCAATAGATCAGCTCAAACCCGTTCGATCAAACCACCAGAATATTTTTTAAAACTGGGGAATAACTGGGCCGAGTACTGCACAGGGCCCACCGGAGAAACATTTGATCCTTATTGCGCAACGGGAGGCAGTCAGACCACTCCTTGACCACTACCCATCTGGCCAGCCGCAATTCACAGGAGTCGGAGTTGACCATGCTCTGATGGTGCAAGAATAGGGTGCCAAGACTTCAGGAGGCCCCGGATTGGGGAAAGACGTGGCAGGCAATAACAAGGAACCGTACGGTGGCAGGTTCCTGCTGTCTCCAATTAAAGCGCCATTGAAAGTACATTCCACGGAAACTAAACTGAACAAGGCTCCAGAATTTGCCTTGCTGCGGTACAGAATTTGGGGTGCCCCAGCATGGAAAAAGTGCCTCCCTCCCCACGCTGAGCAAAAGGAACAAATGCACCTTTAGCTGCAAGTACAATCAACAGTAAATGAAGGGACATTCAAAAAGGCTGCTCCAAACCTTCCAAAGGTGACACATTCTCTCTCTCCTCCTGCAAACAACCATGCAAGGTAGGCCAGTACGCTTCAAAATGCAAAATGAAAAGTCAACTGTTGGCTTGCTCAGAGGGTTAGCAAATTCAGCTGGCCTGGCAGAGAGAGCGTAATTCAACCTCTTATTGATTCTGTGCCTGGCTGCTTTTGGATAGAACTAATGTGAAAGGAGATGCCCCGTGCTTATCTCCATTAAATTGGTCTGTTCAACGATCCATGTGAGAGCTACTAAAGATAATGAGCCAGCAGTGTGAAGTAGCTGCAAAAAAGGCTAATACGATTCTAGGCCCAGTTACAGAATCATGATGATCAAGTCATGAGAAGAAAACATTCTTTATTCTATACCACAAGGCTGCCCTGGTTTGGAACATTATGCTTCAAGCAATTGCAAATGTTTTAGAATAAATTCAGGTTCAACTAAGGACAACGAAATCAGGACTATGGTCGAGCGTGTCTAGCATGGAGGAAACGGAGAGATGATGTCTCCACACTTCTGAAGGGGAGTCAAAAAAGACAGAGCAAAACCTTGTTCTCTGCTCTGATCTGTGGGGGCAGGATCCCATTTAAGCAGTTTAAATTACGGGGATGACGGATTCTAGTTAAACATTAGGAGGAATTACTGGCAAGAAGAGCAGGTCAGCGGTGGGAAACTGGCCGAGGACGACTTCAAATGGCTTTGTCTGCTCCCTGAAAAAGGCTGTCTATCTCTAGACAAGACGAGAAAAACAGATGGGTTCAATTGCCCGCAAGAGCCAACCTGATTCGCCATGCTACCCAGAGGCTGACCTGGAACGCCCGTCAAGCCGCTGGAGGGATGAATGCAGAATGAGAAATATGGCCAGAAGTCAAGCTTTGAGCGTGTGTGTGTGTGTGTGTAAGGGGGAAAAGCACATCCGGTTGAAGTGTGCGAATGTGACAAGGCCAGAATCTGGGGGTGGAAGAGCGCAGAAGGAGATGAATAATTGGTGGTGGTGGTGGTGGGGAGAGATGAGTTATGAATCAGGACAGTCAGAGATTGCTTTGAAAAAGCACCCAGGGAGAGCGCAAGGAGGAATCTGCAACTGCAGAATGGAAAAAACAAAACGAGGAAGCCGCCACTGAAGCCAGACTGCCAGCTGGAGCTCTGATTCTGTTCGCAAAAGGGGCTCCCCCATTGTCCCTATGCAGCAGGGACGGTGGCCCCAAGACAGGAAACACGTGGGGTCCAGCGGCTGCCCTGCCCACCCACTCCCACCACCAGAAGCACCGGATGCCTCCCCGACCCGTCTGGGTAATCACTTTGCAATTCTTTATTTTCCAAAAAGAAAGAATCCAGGGTGGGGGTGGATGGATGCAAAGGCCCTGGAGGAAAGAGAAACTCACATCCCTGATGCCAGGACTGCATCTGTAGCGGCAAATCAAATTAAATCCAATTATGTGGAGTTTCAGAGGAGAGGTGCCCTTTTTTTCTTGTTCCGTATTAATAAAAAAGAAAAGGGGAGGGGGTTAGGAGGCAAGCTGAACTCTCTGCCTCAAGGGGGGACTGGAGAGGATGGGAAAGAGGCTTAGCCCCCACTGTTTTGACCCCCTGATCTGGGGGGGGGGAATGAAATATTCTGGGAGGCACAATGTGAAACCAATTCCAGGGTTTAAACACAAGTGCCTCACTGTTTTTTTAGCAGGGATGTTGAATCTCAGCCCTGTGGCAGTGTTTCTCAACCTTGGCCACTTTAAGATGAGTGGACTTCAACTCCCAGAATTCCTCTGCCAGCCTGGCTGCCTGGGGAATTCTGGGAGTTGAAGTCTGCTCACCTTAAAGTGGCCAAGGTTGAGAAACACTGGGCTAGAGGGAACAGCAGAAGGGTCTCATCCTAGATTGATTTCCCTTCTCCAGACTTTAGGCAGGGATGGCACATCCTGGCTCCCAATCTGGGCACTGGAGAGTTATTCCTAAACCAGGGTGCTTTGTGGAAAGCCAGCGAAGGAAGCAGCGAAAATGCCCTGGATGGTTCTTGGTCCTCTCCTGCTGCAGCGGAGATGGGGCACCCTGTCAGCCTTGTGAGGTAGTCCAGACAAGAAGCATACTCATGAGCACTAGCTCTAACTTCATTATAAGGTTACATTAACAGAATCTTGCAAGTCTGAAAGTGCATCTCTCCCCCCTCGCCTTTACAGCCCAAGAAACTAGGGAGGGTCCCTTCTGAGTCGCTTGCCCCACCTACATTCCTTCTGTGGGCTCAGCTGCCGCTTATCTGACCGTTGCCTAGTCTGAGGATCTTCCCCGTCTCCCCAGGTCATTCCCACAGACCATTACAGGCTCTATCCCCCCTGCCCCGAATCCCTGCCTCCAGCCCCAAACGGAGGAACGCGGAGTGAAGCTATACGACCTGTGGCGGGCAGTCCAGCCTGGGTCACTGCTGCTTGCAGGTGGAAAGTTTGCGGATCTTGCTGCTGGCGGAAGAGGCCTTGCGGGAAGGGTTGGAAGAGGCGCTCGCCCGCCGCTCGGCTTTTGTCTTGCTGCCCAGCTGCCCGGTCTCCGTCCCATTCATGCAGACCGGTTTGGGCAGCCCCCTGCTGCAGCTCTGCCCGTTCTGCCTCGTCTCGTTAGGCACCTGCCCTGGAAGGCACAAGGAAGAACTTCCATGTCAGTACAGAAAAATCACTGGTCCCTGAGCATGTGCGGAAAGCCTTTTTCAACTTCCTCCTGAGCTGCCCCTTCCCTAACTAGAATTATTTAGAGCAGTGTTGTCCAAACTTGCTGGCTGGGGAATTCTGGGAGTTGAAGTCCACTCATCTTAAAGTGGCCAAGTTTGGACAACACTGATTTAGAAGGACTGGGTGGGGGGAGGGCAAGGGAAGCTGACTGCCGCTTTCAAAACCCAAATGTAGGGTCAATTTATTTTTAAAATATAACCTTATTTATCATTAATGACATTATTTTAATGAACAAATGAGAAGGGCACACACTTAGAACGAATGAATTATTATGTAGAATAATTGTATATAATAAGAATATACACCATAATTGTATATAATAATTTTAGAGGACAATTGGGAGGGTAGTAAATCAAGTGGATTAATAGATTATAAACAAAATAACTCCAAAAGCTTTGATTATATAGCTTGAAAGTCTTCTTCATTGCTCCCTCATGGGCAAGAGTAACTTAATTCAAATGTCACTAAACTATACATGTGAATCACTCTTTTCCACAAATCTGGCAAGAATTCTTACCCCCAATCCCCACTGTGAAAAATTCAGAGTCTTTGATCTCTTGACAGATTCCAAATAAGGGGGATATTTCCAAGAAGAATACAGGCATTTGTTACACTCAGCAACTGATCCAAAATCACCTTAACAATCCTATTAATGTTGGCCCCAAATGTAGGACAAGACCAAACCATGTGAATGAACATCCAAATTCCTGAATTCCATCACCAACAGCAAGACTGTCTCCCAAACCTTATTAAACATTCTCCACAATGTCTCCCAAACCTTATTAAACATTCTCCACAATGTCTCCCAAACCTTATTAAACATTCTCCAAAACACAAATACAGATAAAGCAAAATTATTTATTTTAACTGCAGTTTAAATCATCAGAAATTGTCTCCTGGAAGAAAAGCATCTGCCACGTATCCACAATTATGGGTAGTGGACTTAGGGTAGCAGCTGCTGAGCAATGCGAAACTGCTCCTGAAGAACACCTATTCAGTGCAAATCAAGGTGAATTGCAATGTGAGCAGAAGTCCTTCCAAGACTGAGGGATGAAGAATGGAGCATAGGTGGTGTTGAATCCGATTCTCCTATGAGCGGGATGAGAGAACATTCATGTGAGAGAGACTGTAATGGTATGTGGGAATGACCTTGGGAGACGGGGAAGAGCCATAGCCAGGGCAACGGTCAGATAAACGGCAGCTGAGCCCGCAGAAGGAATGTGGATGTGGCAAACATCTCAGAAGGGACCCTCCCTAGTTTCTTGGACTGTAAAGGCGATTGGGGGGGGGCATTCTTTCAGACTTGCAAGATTGATGTCAGCCTAATGAGGCAGTCGAGAGGAAGCACGACCAGATGACCTAATTCTACTTTATTGTAAGGTTACATTAACAGAATCTCGCAAGTCTGAAAATACATTTCTCCCGTCACCTTTACAGTACAAGAAACTAGGGAGGGTCACTTCTGAGACGTTTGCCACACCCACATTCCTACTGTGGGCTCAGCTGCCTCTTCTCCGACCGTTGCCCTGGCTGTGGCACTTCCGTCTCCCAAGGTCATTCCCACATACCATTACAGAGACTCACCTCTGCACAAATGGTTTTATGTCCAAGGAATCACCTCTATCGCACATGCACAATGTTGACAGTGAGGGGTTCATCTTCCCGCAGGTGTTGCACAGCTGGAGAATCTGGCAAGCCATCCTTCCAGTCTAGGTTTTTGTTGTGCAGTGGTGGGTGGGGGGAGTCCTAGCAGTGTTGGACACTTCCGAAGCCAACAGAACGTTAGACAGAAATCACATAAAGGGGCTGGAAACTGCCAGCAGGTTAACTCTCCCAAAACTGAGCAGGACGAGACAAATTTGGTGTGGTGGATAAAGACGCTGACGAACAAAAGATCGGGTATGAAAATGGGCCAAGTCCAGCCAGGGGCTGCAGATGAAAAAAAATCCTGAAAAAAATTCCCCAATGTGGGAAGAGGTTGATGGGCAGAGGCTCAGAACATTGCTGGTTCCTTCATTCTAAGCCCCCTTCCTCATCACGTGATCCAGAGCAGAGCTCAAGGTAGAAACAGCTTCCCTCTGCTGCACTGGTCATTCCGCATCCGGAATACCATGTCCAGTTTTGGTCACCACCGTAGAAAAAAGGACGTCGAGGAACTGGAGAGAGTGCAGAGAACAGCGACCAAGATGGTGAGGGAGATCCTATGAAGAACAGTTAAAAGGATTGGGTCCATCTAGCCCAGTGTTTTTCAACCTCAGCAACGTGAAGAGGGGTAGACTTCAACTCCCAGAATTCCCCAGCTGGGTGAGTTTAGTTGAAGTCCACACCTCTTCACATTGCTGAGGTTGAGAAACCTTGGTCCTCAAAAAGAGAAGGCGAAGGCAAGACATGAGAGCAGTCTTCTAATACCTGAAGGGCTGTCCCAAGGCTGAAGGGGTGGATTTATTCTCCATGTTCCCGAGGGCAGGACAAGAACTAATGGGTGGAAGTTCCATAGAGGGAGATCCAAAGCTGAAATAAGGAGGAATTTTCTGACCATCACTGGAGATTTTCAAGCAAAAGTTGGGCATGCCTTTGGCTGGGTAGTTTGAGAATTCCTGCCCTGGGCAGGGGACTGGATTAGAAGATCTCCAAGTATGCAACCTGGTCCTCTTTGGGCATTTGTTAAAGGGTATTCCTACATTTCTCCAATTATGTCCATGTGGTGATGGCTCAGTAGAAACTCTGTGTTACTTTTCTGCTCCCTCTATAAGGACTCTAGACAGACCTTCATTTATCTGATCTTGAATTTCTGGGCAGGGACCATGATTTCTATCTACTGTTACTTCTTTCAGACAAGGATTCAAAAATATCTCCCCAACTTGCCCAGTTTTGTGTCACCATCTGTACAATACATCGTACTATTAACTAACTTTGGATATTTATTCATCACTTTTTATACTACTATATTTTATTATTTTACATGTTCTTATTTATCTTTGGATCTTCTTATACTCCTTGCTTTTCTGTTATATATATAGATGTATGTAACAGTTCTATTATTGGATATTTTAAAGATCTGGCCTTACGGCTGTAATAAACAATTTGACTTGATTTGAAGTATGCAACTTGCCCTGTGCTTCCAGGACATGGAAACACGTACACACCACACACAGGGAGAGGAGAAATACACACACGTGCATGCAATAAATTATTTCACAGAGAAAATACCTCCTGTGGCTACTGCTGGTAAAGGGGTCAGAAAGAATTCCAGGAATTGGGCCCTGATCACTTTCCCTCCCTTGTTTTTTTTCAAAGAAGTTACTCCAACTTAGCACTCCTACGCTGCCTCCCTGCTGCTATGAACTGCAGCAATGGCTAACTGGTGCCCCAACTTGTGACTGTAAAAGAACATCGGCACCAGGGGCAGACCCACGCTGTCTTTCAACTTGATCTGCAAGGGAGTGGAAAGAATTTGAGATATGAAAACAATTATTTTCTCTATGGAGGAAACAAGTAAATCCACTCAGTTAGTGACTTTCTTGAATGGACTGAAGTTTGCAATACTGCTCCAAGTTAAGGAATTGCAGGCTGGATGGGGAATTCTGGCAGTTGAAGTCCACGTATCTTAAAATTGCCAAGGCTGAGGAACACGGCTCTAGAGGAAAGGAGATTCTGAAAGCGTCATTGCAATCCAAATGAAGGGGGCGGGGAAGCAGGGGGAGAAGAAAGAGGTCAATATAGCAACTGAAAAAACTGAGCAAAGATTTGAAACAAAAAAGAGCATGTCTATTTTATGTATTTATCAGATTTATGATCATGTGTCATCAAGTTGGTGTTGACTCTTGGTGACCACAGATATTCTTCATGGTGATCTGTCCCTAACCTGGTCCTTCACCTCTTCCAAGGGTGCCCCCATCGCTACTGTGACTGATTTTATCCCCTTGCTGGTCATCCTCTTCTCTTTCCTTCCACCTTTCCCATCATCAGAGCCTCCTCCAGAGAGATGGGTTTTCACTTACTGTGTCCAAAGTAGGACAATTTGAGCCTGGTCATTTGTGTCTCGAGTGAGAACTCTGGGCTGATTTCTTTGATGATCCGTTGTTTTCTTGGCTGTCCATGGGATTTTCAGGAGTCTTCTTCAACACTAGTATTCAAAAGCATTTTGTTTCAATCCTTTTCTTCAAAGTCCAACTTTTGCCTTAAATTAGATTTTCTCTATAAATATCCCACTTTTATTTTGTACAACTCAAGATGGCATAGACAGAGGGACTGGTCCAAAGTCAGCCAGCCAACTTCCATGCCTGAGGGAGGACAACCACTCATGGTCTCCTGTACCTTCTCCACTATCCCAAACAGAGAAGGAACACGAAGGTAGCCTGCAATGGAGAGACAGCGTCAGGAAAACAAAAACTCAGAAGCGTTGCCTTCAGATGTGTTCCAAGAAAAAGAATCCACAGATCAACTGCCCACAACACTCACAAGTAACAAAGAGAAGGTTGAGCTTCCCAACTCCCTTCCTGGACCAGTTTTCAAGAGCATCTGTGTTTCACCGGTAACTGTGAGGGGCAGAATGGAAGCTGAGATGGGCCAAAACACATTCCAGGAATATCTCTCAACTTTGAATCTTCAGGTCTAGAATACTGCATCATTGGGTAACAACAGGGACTTGTTGATGGAGTTGGCTAATATTTATCCACTAATTCTGAGAAAAGGGGGAAGTGCCAGACAACTGGAGGAACGCAAGTGTTGATCCTGTCTTCCAAAAAAGGGAAACAATTAATTGGAGAACTACAGGCTAATCATTATGAAATCAGTATCTGAGAAGATTCTAGAGCAGATCCTAAAGAGATCGATCTGTTAGCACACTGAAAACAAAGCAGTAATTACAAGAAGACAGTCTGGATTTGTCCAGAAATTTTG